AGTATTTATATAATATATTATATATATATATTATATATATATTATATATATATATATATATATTTATATATCTATATATATATATATATATTATATATATATATATATTATTTATATATATATATATATGCAATAAGATCACAGTAAACAGGTGATTTCAGAATATGCAAAACAACCACTCTGAAAGAATAGAGAAATTCCAAGCGCTTTCGTGACTACTCACATTATCAAGGAACTATGAAAGTAAAGCATCCAAGGAAGCTATATAAGGGGTCTGGCCAACACCTCACTATCAGATCCCACAACGGTTAAACACCTGATGCGTGCCGGACCAACTGGACAGGTCCTTTGCACAACTCACCAACAAACTATTCTACCCAAGAAAATTTAAAAATTATTATTTGTCCAGTGTATTATTAAATTCTTCCCAAATTCTATTAATTATAAATGGATCTAATTTATATAAACCAAAGGAAATATTCATATTATTGTCAAAACTGCTTTTTATGAAACAAGATTCAATTATATTCCTGTCGACCATGGACTTGCTTGATACTACTTTCTCAACTTTTTGAAAATCAATTGGATGGTTAAAATCTCTTACATGAATAAATAGAGCATTGGAATCTTGTCCAGTTCTAATGCTATATTTATGTTGTTTTAATCTTAGTTCGAGATTTTTACCAGTTTGGACCGTAATAAACTTTATCGCAAATTTTACAAGGAATCTTATAGACACATCCATCAGCATTTTGGGGGGAATTCTTTATCAAAATTTTTTTACTGTATCAAGATTTTTGAATACAACTTTAATATTAAAAGTCTTAAGAAGAGAAGGCATATCAACCAAGTTTTCATGGTAAGGGAGAACCAACATATTTTTAGTTGAATAAGGCTGGTTGTCCCTTTTTGGATTGTAAAAAGTATTTCTAGCAACTTTAAAAGATTTATCACTTACATTTCTTGGGTATTTTAAATCATTACCTATTTCATAATTTTGGATATTTCCTCATCTATGAACTCAGGACTACAAATTCGTAAAGCTCTCAAAAGCATTGATGAGAAAACAGACAGTTTGACTCTATCTTGATGCGAGGAATAATAGTGGACATAGGAACAGTTATTTGTAGGTTTTCTGTAAATTTTAAATTTGAATTCATTATTACCCTTAATAATTAAAACATCTAGAAAAGGCAATGAGTTATTTTCTTCAAACTCAACAGTAAAGTTTATAGAATGGGCTAAGTTATTTAATTTCCAAGGAAATGGTGTATATCTACATTTTTGGGCATAAGACACAAAATATCATCAACATATCTGAACCATTTAGCTCTATTAGGGAGGATTGTGTTAAGCAACCTTGTTTCAAAAAATTCCATGTATAGGTTACTAAGAACAGGTGAAAGAGGATTTCCCATTGCCTATACCAAACTTCTGAGTGTAAAACTTATCATTAAATACAAGTTTTGCATCAACAATGCAAAGTTTAATAAGTTTAATGATAGTAGGAACTGGCAATGGTAAATCATAATTAACGAGTTCTTCAGATAAGAAACTTAATAAATCATCAACGGGAAATTTTCTTAAAAAACAAGGAAGTAACATAAAAAACAACCATGTTAAAATCTTTAAGTCAGTCAAGGAGTTTTAATTTTAAACCCAAAGTTATGTTTTTTTTAAACTTTAAAAGTTAGAAATTTTGCCAAAAATTTAGGGCTCAAAATTTTCAACAGCCATTTGGATAATTTTTAGGGAAAACTGACCTTTAGGAGCAAATAATTGGCCCGGGAAGGGATTCCCTGGTTTGTGTTTTTTTAATTAGTCCATACATGAAAGGAAAAGTTGGATTAGGGGAAAGGGAAATTTTGTTTGACTAATTTTTCTTTGCCTTTATGAAGTTTTTTGTTTTATTGAAATTGTTTTTAACGGTTTCTAGGGGATTTTTCCTAAGTTTAAAATTTAGGTTTCGTAGCATCAAAGGGAAAATTAAATTCATTTTTTTTTTGGTAGCCCTTTTTCTTTATAATTCTATTGTTTTTAATTTTGTTTTACTTTAGTAAGGCGCAAAATTTTTATTTTTATTAAGTGTATAAATTAAGACTTAAATAATCTTTGGGGCCCAATTGGGGGAATGTTTGGTTTTAACTAGGGCTTTTTTTCCTTTCCCTTTACAAATTTTTAAATTTTTCATCAGAGGATAAATCAGAAAATTTCTAAAAATTTAAAAAAGGGCCCTTTTTGAAATTTTTCAACATTATTAATTTTTTTTTGAAGTTGAAAAAATTTGGCCCAAAAAACCTAGAGAAAGCATTTTGAATGTTTGTTTTAAAAATTTTTATCTGAAAAGGGTTAAATTTAAAAAATTTGGTTATTAGCATGCTTTGTCCAATCATTATTTTAAATTAAAAAATGTAATGATTTAAAAAAACCCAAAAAAATTTTTAAGTGATAAATTTTTTAAAGTTGCTAAAAATATTTTTTTTACAACCCAAAAGGGGGGAAAAACCAGCCTTTTTTCAACAAAAAAATATTTTGGGGTTCTCCCTTCCATAAAAAATTTGGGTTTTGATTTGCTTCTTTTTTTAAGGGACTTTTAATTTTAAAAGTTTTATTAAAAAAATTTTTAAAAAGAAAAAAAAAAATTTTGAAAAGAATTCCCCCCAAAATGTGATGGATGTGTTTTTAAGTTTCCCTTTTGTAAAATTTGCGATAAGTTTATTCGGCAAACTGGTAAAAATCTCGAACTAAGATTAAAACAACAAAAAATTTTGCATTAAAAACGGGGACAAGTTCCAATGCCCCTATTTTTTCATGTAAGGTTTTTACCCCCCAATTCTTTTTCCCAAAAAATTTGAAAAAGTATTTATCAAGCAAGCCCAAAGGGGTCGGACGGGAAATTTAAAATTTAAAATCTTGTTTCTTTAAAAAAAACCCAAGTTTTGACAATAATATGAATATTTCTTTGGTTTTTTAATTCCTGGAGTTTCCCTGGAGGGGTTTCCGGGGGTAAAACGCCCCCGGGCCCGGTCTGTGCCGGGCCCCCTTTTTTTGGATCACGCCTGATCAACCGGGGCTGTTGCTGCTGGCTGCACGAAAACCCAAACCCCGTACGAGCCACACCCCGGCTGATCATAAAACTTTTCTTTAGGTGCTTGTCCAGTGCCAGCTTAAAGGGACTGCCGGGGGTCTTTTGGGTTTAACCCCCCTTAGTGTGCGGGGAGGCAGTTGAACGTCTCGGGCCCCTGAATTATTTTTTGGGGGTTCTTAATTTCTGGGGAACCCTCTTTTCATTGGGGGTATGGTGCTCGTCTGCCAAGTTTTTTTGCTTCGTATTTGGGGTGATTTTTTGTGTGCAAGTTCGGTACTGTCCCTCTAGGATTTTTCCAGGTGTTTATAATATGAAATTCTCTCCCCCCTGGGGCCAGGGAAACAGGTTTAGGAACCTCAAGCCCCCCCAGTAATTGGGTTTTTTTATCTCCGTTATGCGCGCCGTGGGAAAATTCTCTATACATTTTCTTTGGTCGGCAATTTCACCCGCCTTGAAAGGGGCTTTTTAGTGTGCGCAATATTTTCCCGCCCAGAAGAAAAAGTGGAAAACCCCGAAGAGTGTCATTTATGGGCTTGGCCTAAACTAGTTTTTAAGGGTTTTTTCATTATCCATCCCGTCATTTTTTAGCAGAAAAGCGTTTTATTACAATGTTATGGTCCTTGAAGGTGGATTTCCCCCGAAAATGATTTTATCCCAGGTCTTTTACGTTGGGGTTTCGCCCCTATTTTTTGGCCGAATTTGTTTTTTAATCTGATGAAGATTTAATTTCCTTTATGTTTACCCTTCTTTAGTAATTGAAATTTTTTTTTATCGTTGAAATTATATTGGGTTTTTTGCAGCCCACTGAAAGATTTATTTTATTGTCCGGGTGGGAAACCCGGGAAATTTTTCTGCAAAGGAAGACCTTTTCAGGGGATTCGGGTGTCAAACTGCAAAAAGGGAAAACCGGGGGGCTGTGGCTGACTCCTTGGGCTATTCGGAAAATGAGGATGAGGAAAAGTTTGGGGGCGAAATATGTGCCTTGTGGAAAGAGCTTTTCACCCTAGGGTGCCTCGGACTTTACTTTTGTTGGAAAGGCTACTCTGTGTTCTGTTAAATGAGGGGTTTAAGATCCATCGGGCCGACTTTTCCCGTTATTCCTTTTGCACGCATTTTGTGCGCTATTACGCCCTGGTCAACTTGTGAAGGCTTTTTTTTCAAATTTTGTATTAATTTCATCCTTTCATTCTTTTTGTTTTTTCTAGAAGCATTTAGGACCTTGGGCGTAGTGATCCAATAGTTTTGGGGCAGACAGGAGCGGCCTGTTTAAACCCATGTTTGGGCCCCGGGGTTGTGTAACTGATGGGTTTTTGATGGGGGGTGATCTTGCCCTTTTTAGGACCCCCTTTTAAAAAATTTTTTTTTTTAAAATGGGGAAAGTTAGTGCTATTGGTCTGTAGTTCTTTGGGTGTTGCTTTTCTGCCCCCTTTGTGGGTGGGGGGTATGTCTGTTGTTTTTAGTAAAAGGTTTGGGGGGAACCCCCGTGTCCATTTCTCCCTCCCCCATTTGGATGGGGAAAAAGGTCGTGATAGGGGCTTCCTTTCAGTTTTTGATGAACCAGAGTTCCATGAAAATTGGCCCCGGGGCGGTGCTGGGCATGTCGTTTATCGGGCCCGTTCGAAGTCTTTGGCGTCCCGGATAAAAATCGGTTGGCTTGTGTTAAAAAAATTTTTTGGTTTCCATTTAAAAAATTCTTTTTTATCTTCGACTTCAGTTGGGGTTTTGCGCTTTCTAAAAAACTGAGGGCATATTGGGCTTTTTAGTAGCTCAATTTTCCCCTTTTGTCAAACTGTGTGGGACCCACTTGTTTAAGTAGGGGCCCAATACTGGACCCTTTTTTCTCGATTTTGATTTGGAAAGGGGGGAAAAAATTACTTTTGGGGTTCTTTCGATTTCATTTTTGGCTTTTAGT